TGTAATGACGCCGCCAAGAAATATCCAAGACTTATCACTGCTAAAAGACAGGACGAAGACAGTCGTGATGAAGGTAAAGACAGCCTGCCAAGAGGAGATAACAAGCGGGTGGTTGGATATTACCTTGCAGTTTGTTGTTAGGTCGGTGATGGTGGATGTTGTGGACTAGATGGAAGGTCTTGGCTAGGTCGGACAGCCGCAGTTTTGACAGGACGGAAGGCCGCGGTTTGTCTGGGGAACGTGGGTGGATAGATGAAAGGAAAGGAGCCTCAAGGGTTTGAATTCGAGGGTCCAGAGAGGGAAACATGTCGTGTGCAATACATTGAAGTGGAGTATGGTGCCCTACCTCGAGGCAGCCTGGCGGGCTCGGCGGTCAGCTTAGAGTGCGAGGCAGGGAATTGCAAGTGCTCGAGTGAGCTTAAGTTTAGTTTCTGCCTAGGTACTTGCCTCTTGGTAGTGGGAAGGCGACACGTCCCGTCAAACGACGTCAATAACTCAATTGCTCCCCAGCTTATAAATAGAGTGTCCCCCCCCCCACCATCACCCGCGGAATCTTATTCATCTCTCTCAACCAATGGACAGAAATGGCGGGCAAGAAAGTCAAGACAGTCGCTCCAACCTTTTCCAAACCTCCCTACCAGCTCTCGTACCAGCAGGTTGCGGATGAGCTCGGCACTAACATCGAAACTGGTCTATCACAACAGCAGGTCGAAGAGAATACCGCTAAATATGGAGAAAATAAACTCGACGGAGAGGGGGTGATCTCGCCATGGAAGATCCTGATCAAGCAGGTGGCCAACGCAATGTAAGTTTGTTTGTTTGCGTGATATCTTCAAGACACTATACTGACTCTTATGCAGGATCCTGTAAGTACCAAGAGCCAGTCTGAACGCATCTCTCCTTGGTCCCGCTAATAAGTATCTTAGAGTTTTGTTCTTTGCAATGGCACTTTCTTACGGTACCAAAGACTTCATCGAGGGAGGAGTGATTACAGCAGTCATCGCACTCAATGTGGTGATTGGCTTTTGGCAGGAGTATAATGCGTAAGTATGCTCCAACTTACCCTGGTGAGATCTTGCTGACATATTTTACCAGAGAGAAAACCGTCGACAGCTTGCGCAGTCTTTCCAGTCCCAGCGCAGCAGTTCTACGTAACGGCGACATCGATGTTAAAGTCATCCCTAGCGGTCCCGTCGTTCCCGGTGATATCATCCAATTAGTCGTCGGCGACATCGTCCCCGCGGATGTCCGACTCTTCGAAGCCTACAATTTCGCTGCTCTAGAAGCTATCCTTACTGGCGAGCCGATACCAGTTGTCAAAGAAATCGAACCTATTGAAGGCGAGCAAGGTGTCGGTGACAGAATCAACATGGCATTCTCGGGAACCGAAGTCACCAAAGGACGTGCACGTGGTATCGTAGTGAGTACCGCAATGGGCACTGAGATGGGTGCCATTGCTGCAGCTATGCAGAGCAAGGCCAAGAAGCCCAATCGTTCAGTTGATCCAAAGAAAAGCAAGTGGAACCCTATCAAAGGCTCCGCCCTTCGAATTTGGGATGCCATTGGCAAATTTCTTGGTCTTACTGAGGGAACGCCTTTGCAGAGAAAACTGGCTAAGCTTGCCTACGTTTTGTTCGGTTGTGCCATTTTGCTCGCAATCATCGTGTTTGCCGTGAACAAGTTCAATGTCACGCACGAAGTTCAGATCTATGCTATTTCGCTCGGTGGGTATTCCCTTCACCCTTCGTGTGGTTGTTTTACTAACGTTTAAAGGTATTGCCATTATCCCGGAATCTCTTATTGCGGTTCTCACAATCACGATGGCTGTCGGAATGAAGAAAATGGCGAAGAACAACGTCATCGTACGGAAGCTAGATGCCCTAGAAGCCCTCGGTGGTGTAACGAATATCTGCTCGGACAAAACCGGGACCCTAACCCAGGGAAAGATGGTCACTCGTAAAGCTTGGATTCCCGGAATTGGAATCTATAGTGTCGAACGCAACAATTCCGCCACTGATCCCAATTCTGGCTTCGTTACACTTGGTGCCGCGCCTACCACTGATGCGGATGCCAATGAAAGAGAGTACCAGGCGAAGCGAACGAAGCGCGATCAGGAACGTTCTGCATTGGCCTTAAAATTTGCAGATGATCCTGAGATTAAAGACCGCCCCGCGGACGTTCCAACCCCCGAAAAGGAGGATCTCGAGACCGAAGGCAATGATGGAGACCACCCTGAAATCATTCCCGAACTGGAAGCCTTCCTGCAATCGACATCGCTCTGCAACTTGGCCACGGTGCGATACAATGAGAAGGAAGGATCCTGGCAAGCAAGTGGCGATCCGACCGAAATTGCTCTCCAAGTTTTTGCACACCGTTTCGACTTTGGACGCAAGAAGCTTGTGGAACAAGTGGGATGGAAGGAATTGGCAGAGTACGGCTTTGACTCGAATGTAAAGAGAATGTCTGTGGTCTTCCAAGAACCAAAAAATGGCAAGCAGGTTATCTTCACCAAGGGGGCTGTCGAGAGAATCATTGACCTCTGTGACGACATCGGATTTGGCGATCAGGTCCAGCCTTTGAACCAGGAGCACAAAGACGAAGTAATCCGCCAGATGACTTTGCTTGCTGATCAAGGTTTGCGGGTGCTCGCCATTGCTCGACGTGTTGTTGAAACCCCGAAGCGTTCGCATGAATGGTCAGAATATCCTCGAGAGGACGTTGAGTGCAAATTGACGTTGCTCGGACTGGCTGGATTGTACGATCCGCCTCGGCTGGAGTCCAAGGAAGCTGTTCAAAACTGCACAACGGCTGGAATTCAGGTGCACATGCTTACAGGAGACCATCCTGGAACTGCACGTGCTATTGCACGAGAAATCGGAATCATTCCCAAGGACTTTGGCAGCTTGCCCGCGGACGTAGCAGCTGCTATGTGTATGACTGCGACTCAGTTTGATGCTCTTACGGACGACCAAATCGATGAGTTACCTACACTTCCTTTCGTCATCGCACGATGTGCACCGAGTACAAGTAAGAAATCCATTCAATTTTAACAACTCGACAAATGCTAACTGAGTAACAGAGGTCAGGATGATTGAAGCGCTCAATCGGCGTGGCAGATATGTGGCTATGACTGGTGATGGTGTCAACGATGCACCTTCCTTGAAGCGTGCCGATGTTGGTATTGCAATGGGAGAAGGTGGATCTGATGTCGCTAAATCGGCCGCTGACTTGGTTCTTACGGATGATAACTTCGCCAGTATTGTGAAAGCCGTGGAAGAGGGCAGACGGATGTTTGACAACATTCAGAAGTTTGTTCTTCATCTCTTGGTTTCGAATGTCGGTGAGGTGATTCTCTTGGTTGTCGGTTTGGCCTTTCAGGACAGAAACCAGCTCTCGGTTTTCCCGTTAGCTCCGCTTCAAGTTCTTTGGATCAACATGCTCACCAGTTCATTCCCTGCTTTCGGACTTGGAAAGGAGAAGCCATCTTCCGAAATCATGCGACGTCCTCCACATTCGATGAAGGCTGGTGTTTTCACCTGGCAGATCTTGGCAGACATGATGGTGTATGGTTTCATCATGGGCAGTTGCACACTTCTCACTTTCGTGATTGTCGTGTATGGTGCTGGTGGCGGTCAACTCGGACAAAACTGCAACTCTCATTTCTCTCCTGAATGTAATACGGTTTTCCGGGCTCGCGCTACCGTTTTTGCGCAGTTGACCTGGCTCATCTTGATTTCTGCCTGGGAGTTCAAGAGTCTTCGTCGGAGCATGTTCAGATTGAACCCGTACCAGACCGACTCCAAGTTCCCGTTTTTCAAGGATGTAAGTCGCCTATACCCCTCAGATAACTCTCACAAGAGCGTGGTTCTAACATTATATGTTCCAGATCTACGACAACAAGTTCTTATTCTGGGCCGTTATCATTCCCGCAATCTTTGTTGTCCCGGTCATTTACATTCCTGGCTTGAACACCAAAGTCCTTCGACACACCGGTATTAGTTGGGAATGGGCACTTTCATTTGCCGGTGTTCCAATATTCATCATCGGAATTGAAGCCTGGAAGTTCCTGAAGCGTTACTATGGCTGGTTCAACGGTGGTGAATCTGATAGAGTCAGAAAGGACGCCTCACTCAGTCTCCGACAAGGTTTCTTCACGATGGCCCGAACTATGACTCGTACTAGCATCAGCTCGCGCACCACCACAATGGAGAAGAGACCTGTCTCTGCTCGTGGAGACGATCAGGTCTGATTCTACAAACAGAGCTTGGTATCATCTATTGTTTCATCTTACCATGTTTTTTTTTTTTTTTTTTTTTACTTTGCTTTTGTTGTAAATGAGTTTTCTTGTTTCTTGTTTCTCTGCAAATAATTTTGGGGGTGGGTAGGGACGGGCGAGGTGGATGTGTAATGTGTGTTTGCATGGGCTTTGGAGTTTTTGCTAGATCATGTTTAAAATATGGTGGCTATATACTTGGTACATACAGAAAAAAGTAGAGTACGTGCATAGTAGCTAGATATGGTCACGAATTATAACGAATGAAAAGCTACATACAGATGGATCTCCGCTCTGTGGGAAGCAAGGACAGTCTGCTTATACATGTGTGCCCACGGTCTAGCTAGCCTCTACTCACAATTGAGTTGAGAATCCGCTGTCTAGACTGCTATTTCCAACAATCAGTAAAAGTGTAATGCAGTTTATAGTGAACTTAAAGACATCCGCGCGTGGGTTTATGGAAGGAAGTCCAAGTCTATACTGCTGTTGGTGTCTATGGGTTTATGGAATTATCTTCTGCCAGAAGCTTTGGATAGCCACAGAAACTTTCTGCTGCTGGAATCTTTGGGCCAACTGTACAAAAAGACTTTGAGTGCCCTCCCTCCTACTGTAAAGCCCAGGATAAAACCAAGATGTGTTACTCATTTATGGGTGTGCCACACGATGGTAAAACAATCAACCCACGGGAGAAGCAGAAACACGGCAAAACAAAACAAGAACTCATTTCAGCCCCACGCGGGGATCGAACCCGCAACCTTGAGATTAAGAGTCTCACGCTCTACCGATTGAGCTAGCGAGGCATATAACAAAGTAGGGTATATTTTCTACATTAGCGTACAAACCAATATCCACACAAGCAACACGAACAAGAACGGTTGACTGATATCTGCGCACCTCTATATAAACATAAACACAAGAAGCAAAAAACCCCAAACTACCGCTTCTCCGCACCCTCATCATCCTCCGCAACATCCCACAAACTCCCCGCCACTTCTACCCCCGCAGCCACCCACGCCGGCCACCAAACACACCACACAACCACCTGCGTCCACATACCCCAAACCTGCCACCCAAATGCCGCTTCGGCCAGGATCCTCGCCAGATCCTCGCCCCAGTAGACCGCCACCCCCACCAACGCTGTCGTCGGTGCAAGCACCTGTAATACCGCGCCCATCACCACCGCGAGCCATGCCTGCCGTACAGGCTTCACAAACGTAACCGGTGTGGAAAAGAGGCCAATCAGGAAACTTAACGAAAAGTTTAGTGTTGCGAGCGCGGAGAGGAACATGCCGAGGGTGAGGAGGGAGAAGCATTTGATAAGGATGTAGTCCTGCTTAGTGGGTGTGAAGATGGTGTGTAGGAGGAAAGAAAGTATAAGGGGAAGGATGAGTGAGACGAGAGTGAAGGCGTAGAAGGTTGTTGAAAGGTATGTGGTTGGGATGGTGTTGAAGACGTAGAGTGGGATGAAACCGAGGAAATGGATTAGGAGGATGAAAGAGACGGGGAGGAGTAGATGGCGCTCGTTTTCGTCTGTTGTTGAAGTGGCGATGAGGGGTTCTGTCTCTGGATTGTTGAGCTCCTTCTCAGTCTCAGTCTCCTCCTTCTTCTCTGGCTCAATTTCCTTCTTTTCTTCTTTACCCTCGATGTTCCGCTGCCCACTCTTGACCCACAGTCCAATCGCCATAATTGTGAAGTTTACCGCGATTAACATGGCACTCGGTAAATAGGTTCCGATGCTGACGAACTTCTTCGGGCCCAACAACAGGTAAAAGAAAAAGCTCTGATGAAAGTGCTCAAGGAGGTTATTCAAACTCCTGAACAGACTCTCCACTATTCTTCCCATTGTAACCTCATCATTCTGGCCGATCCCGCTAACTTGCAGTGTAATCGCGTCGATATGATACGGAATAAAGCTGCTATGAGGTCCTGTTGAATGTCCTAGTCCCTGGTTCACCATCCCACGAAGCATGGTCCGTAGCCGATCTTCGTATGAGTCGGAGTGGGAATACATCTCTTGAAGACTGGCTTGAACGCCCATTTGGTGCCCAGAAATGTGTACGGCTGTGTTGAAGAGGTCGAGGTTGGGGAGTTGTCCGTTGATGCCATCATAGACGACATGGATACGGTCCCAGGGATTAGCAGTGGGGTAGTCGACAACCACAACGCCTTGAATCGCACCTGACGTGAGCGGAAGGCTCTCAACGTCCGGAGGGGTATGTGTGTCGTGGTAGGCATCAACCCAAGCTTGAGGTCCGGCGCGGGCATCGGAGGTGATTAGGAAGATTACGTCTTTAGACCACAGAGACCAGCCTGTGCACTATCAGCATCTTGTGGTTGGGGGGGGGATTTAGGGTGAGGGCAACTAACGTTTGAAATACCTCGCCAACGCCATTACAAGGGCCACCCCGCTCTCATTTAGCTTCTCCTCCCCATTGATCCAAGGTGCCGCCAACACCACCGCTTCGGTCGCGTCTCCCCTCGGCGCCTCAAGAAGCGCATACACATTCTCGCCCTCGTAAACCGCGCCTCCAGCTTCATACCGAAACTTCTGTGTGCCGACTTTAAGTCCTTGCCCCTTAAATATACCACCAATCATCTCCACCACCTCTTCCGTAGTCGCGTTCCGCCAGCCAATCGCCTGCACCTCATGTCGATACGCGCGGAAGACATTCTGTTCGGAACCGGTGAAGTAGGTGTGGACACCTCCGGGTAGCAGCGCGTTTTCCGAGATGTAGGTGTTGCGAGAGTATCCCTCGAGTGGGAGGAGAAGGAGCCATGTCACGCCGACGAAGATGCAGAGAACCGATAGCAAGGGAAGGAATTTGAGAATTTTGGTGGAGCGGAGGGTGCCTAGATGTGTCAGTTAGCTATGAGGTTGTTGTAGTCTCTGCTGGGTTTAGGAGCACTGACGGGGAAGGGCCATTATTGTCCACGAAGGAGAGAAGCAATCTAAGATTGAGCAAGAAAAAGAAAGACAATGTAGTGAGCGTGAGTCAATGCAATGGTGTCATCGAATCGTCGAATTGGTTGTGAGTGCACAAGTGGTTCAAGCACCCTGCTCGGAGAAGGAGGTGCGGTGGACGTTGAATTAAGCTCGCAGCCACGTTTTACAGCCACACGGCCTTTGATCTTGAAATTACGCCACATATACACCACCGCCCCTCTACCTATATCTAAAGAGCTTGGGATAGAATTACAGAAGTCGATGTTCCAACGCCAACAATACTACATAGTGACATCTATTCCATCTATCCCCCGGCTACAACTGCCAAACCGTCGTACACCTTCTGCCTGACCTTCACAAATGTCGTACCCCTTCCTCCTGACCCTGTCATCGAGAACCCGCCTCCTCCGTCTTCAATCGATATATTTCCGACGCCGGTTTTTCTTACAACAACAACCCCATCCACCAGCAAAACACCTTCGCCCTTGAACTCAGCCGTATGTCCGTCGTCGTGCAAAACTTTCCTCAGGTCTGCCAGTCTGATATCACCGACATGTATCGGCTGTGCAACACTTCTGGTAGCAGCGGCGAGAGCAGGCGGGAGTACATCCAGTACCAATACCTTATCTTCGTCAGGGTTCGAGGACTCGTCTCCCGCCGTGATTGTTTTTTGCTTCTTCGAGTCTGGTTCGGTTTCCACAGGTGCGACGCGGCCGATAACATGAACCACACCAAGGCCTCTGACATTCTGCCATTTTAAGCCACGAGACAAAGTACTACCCAGCTTCACCGTCCACGCATTGGTATCCACAGAAGCGTTGACTGTATTGCCGATTTGCGGCGAAAACACATTAGTTCCTGTGCCTCCACCTCGACTTGATAGCGCTGCCTTCTCGCGATAAAACTCGGCCAGGTATTTCGTCTCCTCTCGCTTGCCGCCAATAAGAATCAATTTCTTGGGATCGATGAGGGGCAGCAGCATTCGTAAACTCTTCTGATCGTGCAGACCCGTAAAATCGATGAAGGTGGCGCTGATTTGGATGCGAATTGTATCTGAGGTAGTGGTAAGTTTACTCGGCGCTGCAAGTACCTCTTCATCGTCCTCCCCTTCTGAACTCTCCGAGATCTCGCCTTCCTCGGCCGAATCCTGGGCCTCTGGGTCGTAATCGTCGTTGTTGTCTGAGGCAGCTTTACTCGCTTTCTTTCGTCTGTGAACGCCCTTTCGTTTGCCCATCTCCGCGACTCCTTTACTACTTCTGCGAGCCCCGCTTCCTGGTTTGACAAGCTCCTCATCCCATTTACGCTTCTTGCCCATAACTCTGGTTTCCTCATGCTTCTCCCCTTCGTCGTCTGCCAAATCCTCGTCCTGCCTTTCCTCTGCCCTCATGTAATCGTCGGGTCTGACAACCTCACCATATTCATCCACACGCTTTCGCCGTACCTGGAAAGGGAACATCCTGTTTCTTCCCTTCGCACCTCGAACATCAAAATCGTAGATACCTTCGCCCCGTAGTAATATGTTGACACCTATATCGACTTTCTCACTCACGCCCGCAGGTACTGCTCCACCCATCATTACCGTCGCGTGAGAAATCTTCTTTGATGTCGCCGTGGTGAGGGCTTTCCCTTGCCTCTCGGAATCGGAGTCGTCAGAAGATGAGGATGCATCTTCGTCATCTTGGTCAGCGGCAACTCCGGGGGGAAGGCCAGATGTTGACATTAAGGATTGATGCTGAGACGTAAGGGCCTGGCGGGCAGCCATATGTCGTTGATACGACTGTAGCTCATCGCCCTCTAGTCGTATCTTGCTTGAGGTTTCAATCTCATGTGATTCATCGATCGGCACGATTTGTCCAATTGCAGGACTGTCTTCGTTTGTAGTGGTCGCTTCTTTCCATCCCTGCCACAATTGACCACTCAAACCAGTCTTTCCTTCACCGCGCTCTGTCAAAACCACTACGTTTTTGTCGTCGCTCGCGAGCTTCAGCAAGGCATCTCTGCTGAATCCCCATTCCAGACTTGAATCAGACGCAATGATGACCTTTCCACGCCCGTCATTGCTATTCAAGGCCCTAGTCAATTGTCCGAGTGTTGAGATGAGGTTCAAATACAAGAAATCGAACGGCCCGGCTTTGTTACCTGTAACCTCGGATGTTCCATCCTTCTGGTCTTGATCCTTATTTCCTGCACCCCGGCGGTTGTTTCGGTTGCCTCCATGACTCGACTTTTCGGCGATAGACTCAAATTCTCTGACCACTGCTTCATCCATCCACTCCAACATGCTGCCAATGACTTGTCCCAGCCGCTTCACCTTCCTTCCTGCCAAGTGCAAACCTATTCCCTTTCCTTGGTTTCCCTTGCCGGAAAACTTCTGATCCTTCCTCCATGCGTGTTCCAAAAGATATGCTAGCTCCAGTACTCTCCCCACCGAGTCCGTAGGTATCAAAACAGTCCCTCCTCTCTCCACGGCGGTTTTCCTTATCGTCTCCAACAGAATCTCGTCCCTCTTTTTCCGCCCACCAGCCATATTCGTAATCGTGGCATTCTTTGACGAACACACCAACGCAGTTGGCTTCAACAGCGCCTCCTGTACTCTCCCCCCCTCACCACCGAGGAATGCAGCACCCCTCAAACAGTTCTCACGTGACAAGTTCCAATCAACCGCATAGACAATCGATTCCTGCGCCTGTTGGATCTTCCATATCGTTCCGCCTAGCGAGTGACCCGCCGAGTACGCCGTGATCGTAACACTCCCCAACTTGCCAGCCACTCTGGCCACCGCCGAGTGCAGCGGGGTTGGCTGCGAGTACTTTAGCGTCACGATCTTGCCGCAGTATGAGTCGATCTCTGCCGGAG